CCTCATGGCAGCAGCATGGAAAAGGAGAGAGGAAGCTGCTCCTGTCAATTAAGTGTTTCTACCGCAGTATCATAAGCATGGTGAGAAACAGATTAGTTTGCTTGTTTTTTACTTTGAAGTTTATGGATTCTTTCCCCTCCAAGAGAATAAAACCACCATTCTCATTACATGTCAATAATAATTGAACATGTGGGTATGTGGTCCCAAGCAGCACATTATTGGCAAAGGCAACTCAGATCATCATTTAGAATTTGATAACTTCTTCAGATTCTAAATCATTCACAGTAGAAATGTTGTGTACAAACTGATGAGGTGCAAAAGAAGCTCGTGAGAGAATTAAAGAGAACTGGCTCCCAATGTCTCCTCTGACCTGCAGCTCCTGGCTGATGAAAACTGAGAATGAATTCCATCCCAGAAGCCATTTATTTAAGCCTATCATTGATATATAGCAAATGAAAACCCTAAGGGATGCATTAGAAGTACAGACTTCTCAGGAGAGCTCTCTCTGCCAGTCGGCTTGCAAAGCCAGCTCTCTCGCCATCCCTCCATTCCCTCCATGTTAACGTTAATGTTGTGTTGTGTTGGCGTTAGCCTTGTTAGTGTTAGTTGCCCTTTGACCTCTCTCCCAGCCAGTGCCCAGCAAGGAAGCAGGGTAAGTAGAGAATTCAGAGGACAGGACCCAGGGACCGTGAAGAGGGATTGCCCCAGCATCCTGGGTGTGCTCTGGCTGTTTGCTGTTATGGCCACCACATATCCTCTCTTTTCTGTGCCTTCAGGAAGCCTGACTGTGGCGAGACTGTATTCTTAAGGAGCTCCAGCACAGTGTCTGGTTTGGACGAATCTAAATAAATATGTGAATCCTCAGTGCCTAAGTATCCATCTGTCTGAGCCTTTCTATATGGGAAAACCATTTAGAAAGTTAGAATCCTTTAGCCAGACTGTATGGGATCTGCAGACCCTCAGACTCCTCTTTCTCTTCCCATATCCACACTCTCTTCCACAAAGGTTTCTAACACTGTCCTTTTCTCTAAACAGTCTATGACAGAGCTGAGTTCAACTCTGTACAGTACCAGGCACTGAAAGAGATGCTGAAGATCACTTGCTCTCTTTCTTTGTGCTCTTTCCAGAATAAGTTGGAAAACAGGGTGCACATCCATCACAGAGATGCAGACAGCAGGACACATAAATACGTACATAGCTAATTAAAGACAGAGCACTAAGACTTGAGGGCTAGGAGATACTGAAGAAATTGGAGCAGAGTCTCATTAAGCCCTGGGGAAAGAATAAAGACAAGCGGCCCTTGCTTATATGTTTTCATTCTTAGAGCAAATAAGATATGGAAGGTATTCTGTGATGGAACCCGCAAAAGATAGCAATAATTCTTCCCATCCTAGTATGGGCATGGTATTCTTCCCGTCAAGATTTGGAGTCTATTTCTCCTACCCTCTAATCTGGGCTGCCCACGTGACCTGCCTTGACCAAAAGAATGTAGTGGAGGTGATGCTTTGCCAGTTCTGGGCCTAGACCTTAAGAGGTCTAGTAGTTTCTGCTTTTGCTTTTGGAAGTCAGCTCCCATGTAAAGAATCTCAGGATAGATTACTGAATTACGAGAGGCCACATGGAGGACAACCAAGCATCCCAGCTGACAGCCAGCACCACAGCCCTAGACATGTGTGGCCGCCTTGGACCCTTCAGCCCCAGTCAAGCCCAATGTACTCCTTGTGGAGTAGAGACAGGTTGTCCTTGCATAGCCCTGCCCAAACTGTAAAACCATGAGCACATGAATGGCTACTGTTGTTTCAAGTCACTAAATATTGGTATGGTCTGTTACACAGTAATATGTAACTGAAACAGCCTTCTATGCATCAGGCATTGACCATTAGGCTTTATCTCTTTTAATCTTCATTTTACAAATGAGGATGCTGAAGCTTATAAATTGCTCCAAGTCATGCAGCTGGGAAGTAGCAGAGCTAGAATTTGAACTAGGTCTATGTGACTTCAAGCCTTCCCTATTTCCTCTCATCTCTTTCACCCAGTGACCCCCACTGTAGTGGGTCTGGGTTGGAACCATGGGTTTAAGAAAGAAAAGATTTCTAAGAGGCAGTAAATATTAGGCAAGTTTTGGAGGAGGAAGGGGATGTGTTTTGGCTAAGAAGAGTGTAAAAGGCTTTTCTGTTCAGACCAAAGGTCTATTTTCAGTTGAGGCAAAGCATCTATTCTAGCCTTTCTCAACTGGAGTTCTATGAGAATTAAGCCCCAATGCCCCAATGCATCCACTGTATGTCAAATTCACTTCTTCCTCTGCATCTAGAATGTTACTAGTTATGTGCCATCCTTGGGAAAATTGAGAAAACAGTCACACAAATCTTTTGTAGGCTCTAATGCACTTGTGGAACCCCTGCTGAGAATGTCGGGGAGGCAGAGTCCAGAGTGAGCCAGTCATGTACACAAGGGCCAGAAGGCCTCCTCCCAGCTGAAGCAGGGCCCAGGTCAGGAAGGAGTGAAATACTCCTTTGATGCCCTAAGGATCAGTTAGACCTTGGGCCTCAGCCCACAGCCTCTGCGGTTTGTTGAAGTACTCAAGGGCCATGCCTTAAAGTTCATATATTCTCAACCTTCATGGTGAAGGAATAAAATTTTCTTCACACTGACCAAGACCTCCAGTCACAGCTAATCTTTCTGCATTCAAGGAGAACTACACTAGAATCCTTAATTTTTTCATTTATGCACTCAACACTACGGAGTACCTTCTGAACTAAGGCCTACCATGTGCCTAAGGGGGTGTCATTTCTTCATTATTTATCCAAAATCTTAAAACACATATTCACATGTACCATTTGAGGTTGAGCTGAGGAGGAGAAATATTTCCCAGATTAGTGGCTTTATACAGAGCGGAGAATTCTTGCTCCTGAAATCTACATTTTCTGGCTTTGTTGTCATTCTCATAGAGGAGAAAGTAGTTTCACTGCTTTTTTTCTGCTACCGCAACAGCTTTCAAAATCATAATTTGGTGACAGAAAATTAGAGATGAGTTTCCTTAGGAGAAACTAACTTTCAATTAGCTAAAACTGCCTCCCCTACTCATCTGAAGGTGGGTGAAGACATAAATGCAGACTTTCCCTACTCAGGCTGCTCCTGGGGGAAGAAGGAATGCAGTTAATTAACAGCGTCTCTCCTCTGATCTCACTTTGCCTGCTACCTGTGTGGAGAGAGGGAAGCTACTGGCTCTGGTTTTCTTACCTCCATGGAACCTGAATCCTACAAGCAACTAAAATTCCACCTTCACCAGCAAGCCTAGGGAAAAAGAGGAAACCTTCTTCTCTCAGCTCTTCCTCACATAAGCTTACAAGTTCTGGGTCTCCCCATCCTTTCCCTTATCATCCCACTAAATTCCAAGGATCCTGTGCTTCCTGTGGCATTACAATAACATCTCACTCCTGCAAACCTCACCACCTCCACTTTACCGCTAAAAACTAGGAAGTAAATGAAAAAGCCTATAAGTGGCCAAAATAATGGTCATAAACTCTGGAGACTAAAGCTCAGGTTCTTTGTTTACAAGAAAGCTCTTCAGCCATTCTTTTCCGGCCTTTTAAAATTTTTAGAACATCTCTGTTAACTGGTGGCCCAGCCTATTCACAGGCAACACTTGGAAACAAGAGAGAAAAATCCCTAATGATTGTAGCCTTAAGCATTTTACAAACATAGCTTTTGGTCTAGAGGTAGCAAGTTACAAACACCCCCTCAAAAGCCCCTAAGGCACACGGTAGAAAACTTAATGTTCATACTTATCCTCCTAACCACGTAACTGTCAAGGTCAAGATCCTCACTTCATAGATGAGCGAGGGGTCAAATACAGGTGCAGAGAGGTCAAGTATCCTGAAACCCTCCTAGCTTGCAAACAGAGGAGTCACGGTTTGAATTGAACCCAAATCTGTCTGTCTGAAAATTCCGTTGTTTTCTTTACACCTTGGCTGCCTCACGTTCCGAATGTTCTTGCTTAAAAAGCCAATAGAAGATATACTTCTTAGAGAATCTCAATATACTTAAAACATAAATGTTTAGGTGCTTCCGTAACTTGGGAAAATCACAACTGAGCAAATCTGGCAAACGCGGCGCTTGCAGGCGGAACAATCTTCCTCAGGCACAGCGTTAGGATTGGGGCCGACGGCCACGAGGGGCGTTAGGCAACCACGTCGGTCCCCAGGACCGCGCAGGTCCGGCAAAACCCGGCTCGACCAAGCAGGAGACGGAGAGGGGGAGGAGACGGGCGGGGGGGGGCAGGGCGCGAAACCCAAGCTCATTGGCCCGTTCCCTCGCGCACCGCCTCGAGGCCCCGCCCCTCCCAGGCCCGACTCCGCTCGGCTCCCCTCTGGGGAGCCAAAGGAAGGTCTCCCGGGCACGCGCGCGCTCGCGGCCCCGGGGTTTCAGCCCTCTGCATTGAGTCTCTCTTGGAACCGCTCTCCACATGGCCCCCACCTGCAGACTTCCGGCCAGCTGCCCGCCGCCGCCCCGCCCCCCAAGGGCGGGGGATGCTGGGATCCGCCAATCACTGAGCGCGTGTGGTGGGAGTGGGTGGGGCCTGAGAGATTCGAAAGGAGCCCCGCCCCTCGGAGCTGATTCCCTGGACTAGGCTGTGGGAGGAAAGCAGCTTCCGCGCAAGGTGAGGCGGCGCGAAAAGTCAAAACTGAGGGTGGGTTGGAGGTGTGGTCCGTGGGTGTGGTGCCGTGGGGAGTGGAGAGGTGGATGGGGGGAGGCAGAACCCGGAGGTTGGTGGCGGGAAGAAGGTGGGGCGCGCCTCCAGTGAGGAGAGGCCGGGTCGCTGAGGGGCGCAGTCTGCGGAGGGCGATGGGGGTGGAGGAGGAGCTCTCCACACCCTCGCCGGAGGTAACAGGGGTAGTTACAGGGGCAGGTGCCACTCCTGGGACGCTTGCTTTACCTCCAGCATGACCCCCAACCCCTGGTTTGCACCCTGAGTCTAGCTGGGAGCCTTGGGCAGGATGGAGACCAGAGGAATGGTGTGTTTTCTCTCCAGCTCAGGTCTAAGCTGACTCTTGCTCCTGCTGCCGGGAACATGGGAGATTTGGAGGAAGGTAAGGAAACCCCGGAGGGCAGAATGAGGCCCTGCGTTTGAGAGCCGTGTTAGGGCCCCGAGTCTGGCAGTCATTCTTTCCTCCCCTACAGATGTAAAGTTTATAGTGGATGAGACCTTGGACTTTGGAGGGCTGTCACCATCTGACAGGTACCAGCCTCTTTATCCTACTTACTCTCCTCCAACAAGGCCTCTCTGACCCCTTACTGCTGAATTACTGGCCTCTGGAGTCTGGGTTGGTAATTTAGCAAGGTTGGGTGCACTGGGGCTGCTGGGTTTGACTGGGGTTGACTTGGGTTTCTGTGACACTAATGGGGGAACGAGAAGGGATAAGCTGGAGGGAGATTACAGGGTGTTAGGGAGAAGGGTAAGTGGATTTGCTGTCTTCATCCTTGCGTAATTTCCAATGTCACTAAATGCTGAAGGCTTATTAGGTCTCATAGAACTAGGTGTCTCATCACCTAGAAGCCGGATCTCACAGTCAGCATGGGGATCAGGGTTTAGGGGTGTGTCCCTGGCTCTGTTGTGCGGGTTTTGCCCAGTCTCCTGCTCTCTAACGTGTGGGCATGGTGCCTGGTTTTTCTGTCTCAGTCGTGAAGAGGAAGACATAGCAGTGTCGGTGACTCCGGAGAAACCCTTCCGACGAGGCCTCTCCCACCGAAGTGACCCAAATGCAGTGGCCCCTGCCTCCCAGGGTCTGAGGTTCAGCTTAGGCCCCCTCAGCCCAGAGAAGCTGGAGGAGATCCTCGATGAAGCCAACCGGCTGGCAGCTCAGCTGGAGCAGTGTGCCTTGCAGGAGCGGGAGATCACAGGCCAGGGCCCGGGGCCTCGCAGGATGAAGCCCAGCCCTCGGCGGGAGACGTTTGTGCTGAAGGACAGTCCTGTCCGGGACCTGCTGCCCACTGTGAGCTCTTTGGCTCGGAGCACCCCCTCCCCAAGCAGCCTGCCACCTCGACTCCGGAGCAGTGATAGGAAGGGGTCAGTCAGGGCTCTTCGAGCAACATCTGGAAAGAGGCCCTCCAGCGTGAAGAAGGTGAATTTAGAGGGTCTGTGTGTCCCCAGACACACTGCGTGACTCGGTACAGGCATAGAGTGGTTTCCTCGTTGGTAAAATGGGAATAGTAAATTCTCCCTTATAGAATTGTTGGAATTAAATGAGATACCACAAGCAAAGCACTTACTGTAGTGTCTGTGCATAGCTCCAGAATGCCTAAAATAAGCTCTCAATAAATGGTATTGGTGATGATGATGGTGTTAGCAGCTAACTTCTGCTCTTCCTTACTGGGATCTAGGCCACTCTCCACCTCTATCCGTTAGTCACCCAGCAGAACAGATTCTTTTTCCATTCTAGTCCTTTTTTTCTCTCTTTGTGTTTCAGGAGTCGCCCACGTGCAATCTGTTCCCCGCAGCCAAAAGCCCGGCATCTTCTCCTCTTGCCCGATCAACTCCTCCAGGCCGGGGAAAAGCTGGGCCCAGTGGGAGAGCAATAGCAAGTGAGAAGACCTGGGCAGCAAGGCTGTGGGTGAATGGGAGTAGGGAGGATGTGGAGCTTACCCTAAAATTCCTCTGCTCCTCTCCACCAGGCCCGCCTACCCCTGTCAGACCAGTCTTGGCCCCACAGCCTTCTACCAGCAACTCTCAGCGCCTGTCTCGGCCACAGGGAGCAGCTGCTAAACCTTCCAGTCGGCTGCCTGTTCCCTCTGCCATCCCCAGGCCTGCCAGCCGAATGCCACTCACCAGCCGGAGTGTACCACCCAGCAAAGGTGCCCTACCTCCAGATTCTCAGTCAACTCGGAAAGGACTTCCAAGACCCAGTGCTGCAGGGCACAGAGGTGAGGAAAAATGGACATCAGGGTAAGAAGCCAGGAGGAAGAAGACCTACTGTTGCCCAGCTTGACTGCACCCTCCCAGAGCTGGTCACAGTGACCACCTTCTCCATCTCCATTATAACTCTAGAAGATGGGGAGACTTAGTTTAGGAGAGGATGTGGGCCTGGGCAAACAGTTTGAGCCTTGCATTTCAAATACCTTCTGTTTTTTACCTTGGGTGAGAGGAAAGGCACTAATCCCAAACTCACTGTGCCTTCTGTTTCTTTTTGAGAAGGTCACTTGAACTTTCTGCTAACGCATTTCTTTTGTTAACCCCCATCAAGTTCCTGTTTCCCAGCGACCAAATCTTCCCCTCACTGGTGCCACTCGCAGCAATCTGCAGCCCCCCAAGAAAGTTGCAGACCCAGGACCTACCAGGTAAGACTGGTTGAGATGCTTTCTCTCTCTCCTCTGCCATCTGGGCTTCTGAGCTGTTATGCACATCAGCCCTGAATCCTGTGTGGCAAGATAAGGGTGAGGAGGGGAGCCTGTAGAGGTGGGGAAGCCCATTTCTTCCTACCCTGAGGATCTCGAACTCAGCTGGGTGAGGAAGAAGGGCAATTTAAGGCAGTTCCTCCTTCTGTCTCTTTAGGTAGAGAGATCAGGACAGCAAGCAAGAATTCAGTAGCAAACCACTACAGTCACTGCCTGGACTCACCTCTCCTGGGCCTCCCCAGTCCTCCCGTTGGAGGCAGGCCCTGACTTCAGCAGATTCTGGCCCAGGGGCAGGAGGAAGAGATGCCACCAGGGCTAGTGCCCAGGAGTAGAGACCGTGGGAGATGGGATAGATCAGGAGTGAGCTGGGGGAGAATCAAACTCTCTGGATTGAAAGAAGATTAGGGAAAAAAGAGGTCGCCTCCCAGTAGTGAAATTAACAAACAAAAAATGAGAAATGCAGGAGAGTGGATTGTCCTCATCCACCCCCACTCTTGTGTTCAGCTGCAGAGAGTTTGATCTTCTTCCCAGGCATTGGTTCACTGGACGTTTACATGTGAATGGTCTCTGTGGCTAACCTCCCTGCTCTCTGAGGAGGGGTCCTCCTGAGTCACATCCTCTACTGGACTCGGGCCTGTTTGGAGAAGCAGAGGCAGGCATCTGGTTTCCAGAACTTGTTTCCTGTAAATTCTGTGACTCCTAACAGGCCAGTTTATGATAAGCTTACTCCATCAGTCTGCATTTTTCTAAAATAAAATGAATGTATTTTTATATTCTCTGTACTTGTGAAAGTAGATCCTGCTCCAATTTCTAACAAATTTGGAGTAAACTCCTGTGTAATTCCAATGAGGTAACCAGGCTGTGCTGTGTAGGCAGGGGCCTGAATAGGCGCTGGGGCCTTGAGATTCCAGCTTGTCAGGTTGTGATTACCCCCCTTGTCAGCATTAGATGGGAACAGGCTGCCCTTTCCCAGGATTCCTGTTATTAGAAGGTCCAGATCAAGTTAAGTATACCTTAATTCACAGTATGTGAGGTGTCAAGCCAGGATTATTATCATTATCATTATTATTATTATAAATTACTATTCATATCCTAAACTTGGGTGTCCTTTCCTGGCAAGAGAATGGAGCCTCCTGGGAACTCCTCAGCTTCTTATCTGCTGTACTTTGGGATGAGGGGGCCCTTTGGTGGGTATCCTGGTACTCAGCTTTTCTGATTGCCTTGGGCAGAAGATGCCAGAACGCCTCATCGCATTCTGCCTTACAGCATTAGAACACATCAGTGTTCTCCTCTTATCTCCCTCACTAGATTTGAGAGCTGGCACCAGGGTTTATAAACCTCTGCAGTGCCTAGTGTTGTGACTTGTATGTGGCTGAGAATTTCATTCATTTATTGAAAAAAATATTTGAGTGCAAGATGGTGGGTACTGAATGAATGACAAAGACTCATTTAACAGATTTAACTATGAGTCCCTTTTCTCACAGCCTTTGATTCTTGCAACCAAAACCAACTCAATTCCTTATGAGTTTTGAGAGAACTTTCCTCCTTGAAGGCCAGGCCATGACTTAAGGAAGCCAGTAGGCAACTAGGCAACGGGAGTGGAGTGCCAGCTGGTGTCCCTGCCGCCACACCTGTATGGCCATAAGAACCCTACTTAGGCACTGAAATGCCCTTCCCCAGTACCTGGGGCCAGAGGCCCTCCACTGCTTTCTTTTCCTTTTTATGGCTGATGTTAAGGTTCACTTAACACATTCATCTCTATCACAGTGACATTCACCTTTCCCTGAGCCTCTTACAGAAACTCCTGCAGCCTCTGGGATTCCAAGAATTGAGCTGGGGAGGGGGTGTGGAGACAAACACTGAGTATTTGGCCCTGGAGACATTTGGCAGAGGCAAGAAAACCTCAGGTGTGTTTCCCAGCTGCGTCCTGCACGGATGTCTAGTGAGCAGAGCCTGCTGGTGACCACCACTCTGACAGAAGCATTGGAAGGTCTGCAAGCCTAGGAACACACTTCGGTGTGGCCTGGGTGGGTCCTTAGAGGCAAAACGAGCAGCAGACCCAAGTGCTGTTGCCACCTGGTGGCCAGAGAGGACAAAGCATGTTCCTTTTGCCCTCTAGGTCAGTCTAGAGTTCAGTTACCTGCCCTCCCACTCCAAATCGGCTTAAGCAACATTCAGTAGGCAGTGCCAGCCAGGGTGGAGGCCTATCTCCCACAGCTGCCCTTCTTGTTCAGCTACCTGCTGACTTCTCTTTTGGTCTGGCTTTCTATTACTTCTTTTTCTGCATTCTACCTCCACTCCTACCCTCTAGCAGCAGATGGAAGCCAACATTTATTGGCCTCATACTATGTACTGTGAACTGTTCTCAGCACTTTACACGTGTTAACTTATTTAATTCTCATAAAAGCTCAATTAGGCGGATGCTATTATCATTCTCATTTTGCAGACAGAGAAACTAAGGCTTGGAGAGATTAAGTCACTCAGTCTAGTTCCAGCGTTTGTGGTCTTAATCAGTACTCTCTATTGCCCCATGTTAACTCCCTATCTTGTTTGTTTAACAGACCTTTGAAAAACACAACTTGGGAATAGAAGGAATGTTGCAGAGCACATAGCTGGCTAGAGTATGAGTAGTTGCTTCATTTCTAATGGGGAAAAAAACACAAAATGGCCCAGAGAAGTAGTGAGGCGGTACCTTAGTCACTGAGCACCTTTAAATTCCCATCAGCCTCTCAACTCAGACCTCCCTGCCTCCTAAATTCCACCCTCAGGACTTAGCCCTAAGGGGCCCTGGGCTGGACACCTGCCTGCTCTGTGCAGCCTCTCTAGCCACACAAGTCCCTCCTGTCCTGGTAAAAAGGATACTTTCCTGCCGTATCTTGCCTGGAAATGCCAGGACATGGGCTCTGTGCTGATGAGGCTATTTGGAGGTGTCAGGAGGGGGGCTAGCTCATCAGCCACTTGGCATCTGAGTCCGCTTATCTCCTGGCCCTTCCAGGGCCCTGCCTGCTCTTGTTTTCCAGAGACCGGGCCTCCCTCCCTCTGGAAGGACAGGGCACCACACAGAAGACATGATGACACTGCTCAACCCGCACAGAACTAGTTTATTAAGTAGTATGGAGAAATGAAAAAAGAAAACACAAAACCCTACCGTATTTACAATAACAATCAAACTGTACAATCTGATGGTTAGTATCAAGTTAGCATCCAGCATCTTTGTATTTTTTAAGTCAAGTCATCAGTAGTAAAAACCAGTTAAATTTTTAACCCTTTGCAGGAATTGCTGAGGGGAGCGGTCAGGGGGAGAATCCATGGCAGAAAAGCCAGAGACCAGCCTTACAAATGAGAAACGGGAACATTTTTTCTGTCCATGACCTCTTTTTCTAGCCACCTGCTCCAGAGGAGAGTCAGTGACAAGTCTGGAATACATGCTGAGTGTTGGTGACTCGAATAGCAGTTGGCAAAACTGAGGAGAGGGGAGGAGGGGTGGGAAGATGACAGCCTGGAGTGAGGGGAAGGGCCTCAGGCCCCCACGCCAGGACTGCTGGGTACACACCCGAGCTGTGATGGCCACATCAGACCCCCTGGGACCGGACACAAACCCATCCCAACACAAAAAACAAATAAATAAAAAATATATATTAACTCTCTCTTCGCAGGGATCTGGGGGTGGGAGAGGGAGAGAAAGAGGAACAGGACCTGGTCCTTGGAAGAAGAGAGCCAATTCCAAGAAGGGGTTAAAAACAGAACATGTCTCAGAGGCCACAGCAGGTCAGACAAAGTGGGGTTTGACCTTGGGGGTTGGGTGAGTGGACACCAGAACCCAGACTTGAGACCTGTGCTGGAGACCGCTTGGGGCAAGGAGCCAGCACTGTACTTACTCTTCCTCCCATCCCACCCACACAACAGCAAAGAAGCGCAACTCAACACATGACTGGCCTTCCCCAGTGCGGGTCGGGCAGGGAAATGAAGCACTTTTGGGTCAGCGAACTGAGCAAACGCCTGGGCTGCAGCACGTGGCTGGAGTCCAGGGAAAGGAGAAGGGCTGGGGTGTCCCGGCCACCGCCTGGGGGCACGGGTTCCCCTCAGTGTGTGTTCATGCAGCATTTGGGGGTCCGGGGGCGCTGAGTCCTTCTGCCCCCTCACCAGACAGGGCTGTTTCAGTTCCTGGGAGGGGCGGCAGAGGTGAGGTGAGGAGGCCCTCTGCCCTGATACCCTCGCCATACTGAGGCCTGCCCGGGTGCAGCCTGCAGGGCTTGGACGCCCTCGGTGCATGTGGCTTTGTCCTTTCCTTTTGGTGATGGCAAATGAGGGGCAGGCCCCCCAAAAGTCCCTCTCCTCCCAGAGGCACAGCAGATGGGAAACTGAGGAGAGGCTGGGAAGCATCCTGGGAGGTCCTATCCTCTTTGGGAAGGGAAAGGGGAGTCAGTTTCCAGCATATAAAAAAAATTAATCCCTGAAGTCATGAAGAGTGGAGATCCTTTTTAAAATTCTTTTTTCCTCTTTTCTGAAAAACTTTGTCTTGGAGATGTTGGCCCCAGGGGTCCAAAGTGCAGTGAGGGAGATGGCGGGGGAGGGAGTTGGCACTAGATGGCCTTGGGTGGGGTGGCTGCCCCTCCCAGCAAGGCCCAGGCTCCTCAGATGGACGTTTCGTCGCTGCTGCAGGCAGGTGGTGGGGAGCAGGGGCAGGATAAAGCACAAGACAGGAGTAGGGGCATGAGTGCAGCTGGGGAAGGTAAGAGAGCCTCAGGGTGTAGGAACCACCGGCCCAGGGTTAATGCAGGAAGTTAAAGAAGAGAAATCTGGAGAGACAGGAAAGGGAAGTGACAGAAAAGGCAGACAGAGAGTTAGTCAAAGCAGAGGAGACAGTGAGAAGCTTTCACCAGAAGAAGGAAACAGAAAAGCAACCCCAGCGCCCCACCCTCCCTCACTTTGCCTGATGCTGGGCTGGGCTGACCCTGCGGGGCACCATGGTTTGTGGGCACATCACAGTAAGGGGGCTGGGACACACTCAGCCCATTCATCCTTTGACTGCCAACCAGAGTAGCCTGGGGGCAGCTCGGAGCCCAGCCAGGGCCTCTGCAGGGCTGCATCCTGTCCCACCCACCCAGCCACACTCACTCGGAGCCCGATGAGTCCTCATCCACTGTGCCTGCCTTGATGCTCATGGCGATGGGCATGACCCCATTCAGCTGCTCCTGGAGACTCTGCCGGGGCGGTGGGCGGGGAGGGGGCCCGCCCCGGCTGCCCTCACTGGCTGAGGAGCACCGAGAAGACCCTGTGCCCTGCTCCAGGGGTAGCCGTAGGAGGCTGCTCTTCTCACTGATGGTGGCCAGACACTTCTTCTTGAGGATGCCTGTGGGTCGGGAGGACAGGTGCCATGAGGAGCAGGCAGTGGGGGCATGGGGCTGCCCTAGAGAGCCCCACCAGCCACCAGGCAAACAGGAGGTGTGAGGTTGCCGACTGGGGGGTAACGGCAGCTGGTGTGCCCCACTCACCTTTGTGAGGCTGGGCAGAAGGGCCTGGAAGGGGGCCCAGGGACCCCTCCCGAGGCAGAGCATCTCCATTCTCCCTTGGCCGCTCCTCAGTGGCCCCATTGCCACCACTATCCTTTGCTATGGTCCCAAAGTCTCCTGGCCAGGGGGCCTTCCCTGGTCCCGCGCCCCCATCTGGTGGAGAAAAGAAGTAGATGAGGCCGAGAGAAGGCAGACAGCTAGGAGAGTCACCACCCCAGTCTTGCTTCCCAGGAATCCCAGGCCCTATGCCCTCCCATTGC